TAAATAAATAATCCAGATATATGAAGGATTATCTCACCTAACTGCTAAACTGGTTGTCTTCTGTCTTCATGAAACAATGGTTAATTTGGTATAAAAATAAAGAGAAGTCTTCTTCCATTTTTATTAATGATATCTTGTGGGTAATAAGGTACAGTCAGTCTTAAACTGTTTTATGAGTTAAGGAGTGTTTATGTGGGTTTTTTTCCCCCCACAGCGTAGTTAAGATCAGCTACCATTTTCAGACATAACGCTAAATGGTAGACTCAAATGGAAATTAAAGTTTTTACTCTCCATCCTGTAACTGCATCAGAGAAGGGAGAAACATATGCCTGCAGCTCAAGGTGACTCATTTCTATCATGGATAGGTTATTATGGTAGCCGATGCAGCCAATCTTTGTATTAAACTGAAAACCAAGGAATACTGAGGGTATTTTGAGAACAGCTCAGAATGATGTTATATAATCTAAATTATATAAGTCATTTAGATTTAACAAGATCATTATACATCTTTCAAAGAAAATCAATTCAGATTTAACATGTAAAGCAGTTTGAACAAAAAGAAATATAATTCCCTTGGGTAAAATGTTTCTTACTGTCCTAAGAATGCCTGTTGTATTAAAAACTAACAAATTCCAACCGAAATGGACAAGATAAATTAACTGAAAAGGTTTCATAGAAGTATTACTTTATGAGTTAAGTTTTGAGGTAGATGAAGGTTTTATGCCCAAGGTTAATTCATAAAGTTGACTTAATTCAGAATAAATGACAGGATATAGCCATGGAATTGCCGTTGGTGTACTTAGTCACTCTGATCTCAACTTGCAATCTTTTCGTGCTTTAAACTCACAGACAGCTAAGGAAAAGATGATCTTATCTATACAAAGAACCCTTCATGTCTAAAAGGACAATTGAGATAGGAAGCTCCAAGAGCGCAGCATAAGACTTAAAGACAGCTATTCTTGCAAAGCAAGCCAAGAGTGCAAAGGTTTATTAGAAAAGCAGCCTCTTGGCACTTCAAGCAAGTGCAATTCACAAACAGAAGCCTGCATTTGCATACACTCATTGTTGGATTAGGGCCAATAAGTAAAGTGCCTGTTAGATACACATTAAGCAATGCAGAACATTACATTTATCTGAATAGTTTCAGTACGTTCTCTGAAGACATAGTATGGAAATAAGAATGCGCAGTTTTTAAAACTCCTGTAGTATGCTTAAAAGAGATTCTGAAATATGCTTTGCAATATAGTAAGTATAACTTGGTTTTATTGGCCATTTGGAGTGGACAGTACCTGTTGAATGTTAAAGTCCATTAAATCGAAATATACATAATTTATGCAAATAATATTTAACATTAGTTGCATTGGTTTACTTCTTTTGTGCCATTATGTAATTATGCAAATGGCATAAATTGTTATGTCAATTGTTTGGATGGCTTCCAAAAAAAACCAAGCGGCCTTTGTCCATTGTTTGGGAGAGAAATCCAAACACATTTTTGTTCATTGCATCTGTGGAATTCTGAATTGAGGTTTTAATGCATATATTTTTATGGACTCCTTTTGGGGTCTAAGCTGAAACTGCTATTATCGCGTTCTTGCAATATTACTGAATTTTGAAATTACACATAATACAAGAGACGCAATGGTCTTTTAAATATACACATTTAAAGAGATCTTAAAATGTCTTTTTTAGAGGTTATTTCCCTGTGAAGTACCTCAAATATTAAAGATTAGAGAACAGCAACATTCATCCTTGATCATTACACCATATCTCAATGGAGAACAGCTGCTATTGCCAAAGTAGGAGCACTTGGTCCTATTATTGTGATGACATGAAGATGCGGGTAAGACATGATTTCATGATGTCAAAGGTCTTGACATTGGCTCTTCCTCAATATTTGCTTTGCAGTATGCTGGACCACAAGAAGTGTCTGTATTTTTAAATACTGTTTTGATTGTAGACACACACACACACACACACACACACACACACAAAGACACATACAGTACAATCCTATTTCCCAAAGAAATATTTCCAAAGTTGTTTTAAAAGATACTTCATAACACCATTGTTTTAAAACATTTTGGAATTGTTCTATTTAGAACTTTCCTGGCATTTCCCCACCTTTTTGCATTATCGTGACTGTTCATTCTGAAGTTCAATTAAATTGTTTGTATTCACAAAGGGTCCTTCTTTCTGCTATTATTTCCTGTCATATAGCAACTAACAAACAAATACAGAAAATGCTCACGTGATATAACACTGTCCATATATTGGGGTAAATAAGGAGCCCAGGTATCAATTGCTTCCTTCCTGCCCGCCTGTTCAATTCTCCTCAGCTCTGCTAACAGTAAGGCTTGTGCAGCTTCTCTTACCTAAAAATTCAATCAGAACAGGCATTGGTTCAGTTAAAGTTTCAAAATACAGTAGTTCTAGAAAATAGGTGCAATACAGGGAGGCAATTAAAAAAAAAAATTAACAGTAACTAACCAGAGGGAGTCTGACTAACCAATCTGATAAAAACTATAAGCTTTTGTGAGCTGTTCATGCCTTTTAATCAAACTGGTTAGCTAAAAAAGGTGACACCAGACTCCTCCTGAACTTCAGCCACCCTAGACTAACACAGCTCTCCTCCAACAGCAACTAACCTAAAAGCGACGCTATAATGTATTTGGTAAGCTACATAAAATAAAAAGCTTCTCCATCCATTCGCACATTGGAGGAATAAGCCATCTCGCTACCTCCCAGATATGGTTAAGACGCTGGCGGAAGAACCACATCAGCACGTATCACCGACACCTTCTTTATGGCAAAAACACTTCCCACTATTATTCTGCCACTTTATCTCCTGGACAGGATGGCAGGAGTAACCAAAAGTGTTTTTGTTTTTTAAATCAGGAGTACTTGTTTACACTGAGGTTGGCTTTCGTTTTCCCAGAGATTCGAATTCCCAGAGATCCCAACCATTGTTCTCCCAAGCCAGTTTCTATGATAAGTTGAGACAGAGAAATTTCCTGCTCCACACATACCTGGATTTCACCATCACTATACGACTTCAGCAATAGTTTTTCAATTAAACTGAGAAGCCAACTCAACCCCCTACTGTAAATGTCACAGATTGGCTCCTCATATATTTCTTTAAAGCTGCACAATCAACATTTTTTTCTCTTTCTTTTTGCCATAACAGCATAGAGGGAATGTCAAGGCCAGATAGTCATTTATCAAAAATAGGGGATGCCAAGTCCATTTGCCAGCTAGGGAAGTTACTCAGCACTTTCACCCTAGAAAGTGGCCCAAACAGAATGTCCTTTGTTTTGTTAGAACCAAGTCTAGCATTTAAAAACAGCCAAATCCTTCTTACAAACACAAATCATATATTGGTTTTTCTGCAATTTCTTTCTGTCACCATTAGGCACTTAAATATTTAAAAATATTTCTGAGAGGGGAAAAAATCTGAATTCAAAACGTTTTGTGGGTATACAAGCAAACCAATTTCCTGCACAGTGATATAAAGTGTTCTGTTCTCTACAGATGCTGCTGCTTCCATCTTCCTTTTAAAAATAAGCATAGTATTGAAAAGTATTAAAAATAAATTTGCAGCAGTTATTGAACTGCTGATGCATGAACAGTAAACTAGCTGTAGCTTAATTCCAATATTGGAAGCAGTCTGTAGTTTATGGAAACAGGACCTTTCTGTATTCAGGGTAGTTCCACGTGTTTTGATGGAACAATGCTGACATCCAGTGGTCAAGAAGATTCACTGTGCCCTTCTGTTCTCTGAAGTCTAGCTTCCCATTTAACCAGAATATACTGTTGTCATACAGGGATGTTAACTCTCCATTTTACAAAAGTGACCCGCAAATTGAATTGCATATACCTATATATATATAAATCCAACCTTTAAACCAGAATTATAGTACACTTTTCTTAGAACAATATATCCAGTGTAAAAAATAATATTCCCTATGTTGGCCCAGAGATTCATTTTTCCCTAACTGCCACCTTCAATAAAAAACAGTACCTCCAAGCATCGATCTTGCCATCTACGAGCCAACATTTCAAGGAGAGGTGGTCTAAATTGATCCAGGCCCAACAGGTCAGGGAGCATAACACAGTGCATAGCAGCAAGCTGACTCCATCCTGTTAAGACACAACAACACATAACAGTCACAATCACAGAGATAATTAAAAACCACCAGAAGGATGTTTGTCTATGAAGAACTTGCAATGGGAGTCTGAACACAAGAAATACTTTACAGAATAAGTAATTTCTCAGTCCACAAGACTGAAGTTACACTAAATGAGGAAGCTAAAAGCAATGTAGTACAGTAAGTGTACACATAATAATCTTTCTGATCATGAAGGCAATCAATTAATTGAAGGCAAACAATTAATTGAAGGCAATCAATTAATTGATGTACATATTAACTATAATGCATTATTGTTCACTTTTATTGGGTTGTCTTTGCTTTTCCTCCTTACCTAGTGTGAATAACTGCTACTTACCTCTACTGAATTTTAGACTGCAAGCCTTTCAGAAAGGGCAACTTCTAATGGGATAATCACTCAAGAAACAAATTATTCTAATAATTATCTTTCTACAATTGTACAACTGCAATCTGTTTTTAACCCACATTTTATTATTGTGATAAACCAGTACATGAAGGCCATCAACAGAATACCGTTTTATCCTTCCACTCTCCTTACCCCATTCCTACTGGAGATCATGATCTGTAGCCACATCAAAATCTAATCTCATATGCCAGTGCTATAAAAAGATTGAACCTAGATCCAAAGATGCACATCCATCTGAGGGAAGCTTTTGCAGCTCAAAGAGACCATGAATACAAATGTAAACAAATGAAAACTGTAACCACTATATTTTCTATATCTCTAGATATGTATCTATGTATGTGTGTGTGCGTGCGTGCGTGCATGCATGCATGCATGCATGTATGTATGTTTAAAAAACCCTTTTGTTTAGTGGGAATTTTGGAAGGGGATTGACATAGAAAAAAATTCATTATAAAATGTAATTCACCAGTAATTTCTGATTAATTTTGAGATCTTATAAATGAATGCAGTCCACTCTCTCTTCCCCTCATACAAGCAGATAAAACCAACTCTAATGGTATAGGGTACTCGGATGGGATATCTAAACCTATGAACTGGGTTTACTGCTCTGAAATAAGAAAGGGTTGTATGGGAACAACAATAAGTGGGGACATGGAGAGAACATTAACAACTATTTTCATCCACTGGCAGTTCTCCAGTACTTACAGTATTCAATTAATGATCATAAAGTGAATCAATAAGAAAATAATAAAAATAAAAACAATGACAAACTATCCCAGATTTGACACTGAGGTTGACCGAGCACATATGTACTCACACATATCCCTATACAGAAATGAATGATACATATGAAGGGGTATAACAGTTGAAGATATCAAGATGTCTCAACTGACTAGCACAAGACCCATGTTAAAACAAGTTGCCTTCTTTTCCCATCAAAAATCAGTGTTTCAATCAATGAATTCCTTTTTCATCTACAGATGGATCGCAACTTGATTACGGAGGCAATACACAAACACAATAGTTGCAATCTTGTCCTGCACCTGCAGATGCACAGCCCACCTCCACAGTTATCAGGAAATGAAATATTTTGTATACAACAGCAGGGTGTTGAAGATTAATGTTAGGGGAAGAAAGAGATGAGGTTCAGTTAGCAGTGAAGACAAACGTATATAGATACATGCTCTCTTATTCTCTTCCTGATACATTTTTATGTCCTAGGGAAAGATAGCTTTCTCAGAGTTTCAAACCTCTTGCTCTATGAACACACAAAGGTAGAGCAATGGAGAATCCTTGTGGCTCAAGAATAGGCTAGACTCCTCTACATACTCAGTGCCATAGCAATAGGGCTAAAACACACTTCCAAATCTTTTCTATCAATATCATTTTTTCTCCTTCTCTAAAATTCCTTTATTCCTTTATACGTTCAGGACTACAATTCTGAAATATAATAAAAGAATAAAAAAACCTTGAAAAGGGTTGCTGTTGTGGAGAAAACAGAAGGCAGGAGTATTAGGTATGTAGGCTGCCTTAACTGATATATAAAAAGGGCAGGATAAAATCATCATCATCATCATCATCATCATAATGAATAATGAATGTACAGGAAACAAAGCCTGTATATCGAAATAATGTAATAAAAACATGAGCCAAATGCTGGCAAGGAAAAGCGTTACATAGTCAATTTCTACAAAAGATCGAGGGGAAAGTGAATAAAGATAAAACCTAGCAATGACTTATAACTGGAACATTAAAAAAAGAAACTGAAGGCTTGGTTTTGGCTGC